ACCACTTTATAACGCTGGCCCTGTTTGCTGTATCCTGTAGGCACCCCTAATACTTTTAGGGTTTCCGGATGGAAAGCATCTCAAAAGGAGCTGATTAAACTTTGCTGTACCCCTGTGAAATAAGTTAAGGAGTGCAGTGAGTTCAGCCTAGAGAAGAGTAAAGCCACTTTTCACCTGACAATACTCAATGATACTTCGACATGGATTTTCTTTCTACTTCCGAGGATTTTCCCTGTATCCAGAAGTAACATAACTGCTTCTTTAAAGGTTTTGGCCGCTCTTTAAACAACTTGTTAAGGGATGTGCAAGCAGATAGGCAATATCTTCTTTCGGGGGGAAGAAGCAGTGTCGTATCTGCTTTCACATGAGGTAGCCGAGAGCTGTTTCAGGTGCAGCTGGATTGCTCTGCCGAGCATTAGGGGAGCGTGGTGGGTGACCCCCTCTCCGATTTCAAATATTATTTCTTCTGCAGCATGGTAGGAGAACATCCAAAGGTGCCTCTGACTTCTGACACGTAATGGGATAGCAGACAGATATGAATAATTCAGTACAGCTCTGTGAACATCTCAGTCTGGACGATGTCAGCTGTGGCGTTGGTGTGGGGCTGCAAATGAATTGCGCCATGCGAGTCCTCATCTGCACAGTGGTCCACAATTAAAACGCATGAGAGTTTTAGAAGAGTAAAAGAATCCCTCTTTCAACATTCCACAGACAACAAGGACAAGCAATAAATTGATATTTTGACACACACGTGCCTATTTCTAACTTAATAATTTCACACTTTTCTTTCTAGTGCCCTCGACGGTAACATAACCTCGGGTTTTAGTGTCTTCAGTGGGTGGCTTGGTTTCACATCTGTGTCACTGAAGCTTCATATTTCTTTCATAATAAATGGCTGTAACAGAGATTAAAAAGACTAATTGATGCATAGTAAAGTTAGTGTTGTCACCTTCATTATATTGTTAAGTGCTTATTTTACTGATCTTCACTGTACTTGCAGGCTAATTGTAATTCGGTAAATTATTGATACACGTCTTGGCAGAAAATGCCTTTAGTACAGGAGAAATATTATTTACATCCGGCATCCCAAGATCTGTAAGGATTTAGTGCAAATACTGCAGTAGCTGCAGAAGATTGGTAGGATATATTTATGGATTACTTCTGCCACAGCTGAAGAGCAGGGAAATGTGGTGGATATTGAACATTTCTCATCAGCTGAGGTCAGGAAATGAAGAAGCTGGGGTTTGGGATGTGGTGACTGTGGGCTTGGTGTTAGAGGTGCATCCTTGGCCTTAGAAGTAATGCAGAGTAATGCAGCGAGCCTAGCATTGCTCCCATGAGTGGGCTTCACTGTCCACACTGATGGTTTGCTGTTATACACTTATTTAAAAGGAGATTTAATTACTCTTGACATTTGGGATGAGTGTTAATTTTTACTACAGCTTTCATCCCTCTGCGATACGAAGTTTTGCAGTAGAAATACCCTTCTCTTATGCAGTGCTTTCAGCAATAAAAGGCAGTTGTGTTATGCATGTTTGAAAGTGAGAGGAATGTGAAGCAGGAAATACTTAACTGAGACTATTTCAACACTGGTTTTCTTGCTCTGTTGAACCTGACAGTCAAGGAGCTGCTTGGCAGCACTTTCATGGCTTGCTTAATTCATTTGATGGTCCTTGAATGTATTCTCAACTCTATCAAGTGGCAGGTTACTGGATCTGTCTGAACCTAAACTTAGTCGCAGTGACTTGGTTAGAAATGGGTCAGCCTCTGCTTTTCAGCAAAATGAGAGAGAATTGGGTCTGGACAGATCCACAGATCCTTCTTCTGTCAAGTCCCTAAAATGCAGCCATTCCTGCCTGTTGGCACAGCTAAATCTCGTCCTGGCTTCTCCTCTGTTGTTGTGACACTCTACTGGCATCACCAGTGGTGCTGCTGGGGAACGTGACAACTTGTATTTTGGAGGGTCAGCGGTCTCCCCATCTCAGCATTGTGTACTGGCACGTTCTCCTGCTTCACGTGAACCGAAACACTCCTTATCTTTGCTTTCATGGTCCTTCACAATCCGTCCTTGAGCTGCAGCTCTTTCCTTGACTTTTAAGGACCTTCTTCTACCTCCAGTTGGCTCTCACAGCTGCTTCTTGCCCGCTTGCTGAATTTCAAGGAGTTTGCTCTTTCTCCTGGAGCTCTCTTGACGTTTGGAGGGAACTGCTTGCAAAACTCACTGTTCCTCCGATCTCCTTAAAATTCCTCTCCCACGAAGCCTACAAAACCAGTCATGCTGTAGGTCAGGTTTCCTGCACTCCCTTTTCATACGTTCATCTGTTGTTTTCTGGTTTTTTCTTTTGGGCTTCAAGCTGTTCAAGTGAGAAGATTGTCTGGTGGGTGAAAGGGAGAAAGGATCTCTGAAAGTTGCAGCAAAAAGAGAGTGGTCAGAGCTGAGAGCAGCCTCAGAAGAGGGCAACCAGCATAGCCCAAGAGCAGAGCAAGTGGTTTTGCTGGCTTTGACAGATCAGACACTGCTATATCTGAGTTTTGGCAGCAAATGGGTCATTGAGGATTTGAGCAGGAGCAGTGCGAGCTCTGCATTACTTCTATGCTCAGGGTGTTAGCCCAGGGGTTTTGAACCCCTTGTTTTCTTGGGGGAAGGGTGGGGGGAGGGGGACCAAACACACACAGACAACTAATTTCCTGGATATTGAGGGGAAAATGTAACTTCTGACCCCAGCAATCTGCCCGCTAAAATGGGCAGGGGGTGCAGTTCTTCCTCCTGCCTTAGAGTAAGTCCTGGAGGTGTTTGTTCATCCATGCACACAGCCGACGTCCTTCTGCTTTGCAAGAAGCAGGCATCCTTATTTATGCTGGTGTCTCGCAAGGCTTGCTCTGCGTCAGAGGAGGAATAAGCAGCTGCTTTGGATGCTGGTGCTGGGGATTTAAGAGGTTTCGTTTTTTTCCAGCTCAGCACAGGCTGCTGTTAATGTTCTGCACAAAAAGGGCCTCGGCTGAGACAGGCAGCAGCACTGGGTGTTTTACTGCTCATACCACCTGGTCCAATCCCTCCATGGGCAGGGACACCTCCACCAGCCCAGGCTGCTCCAGGCCCCGTCCAACCTGGCCTTGGGCACTGCCAGGGAGGAGGCGCCCACAGCTTCTCTGGGCAACCTGGGCCAGGGCCTCCCCACCCTCACAGGGATTTCTGCCTAACATCTAATCTAAATCTACCCTTTTCCAGTTTAAAGCCATCACCCCTTGTCCTATCATAAAGACACAGCAAGCAGGCATGTAACTGGATAGCAGAGGGGATTTTTGGCCTGATTAGGTCCAGCAACCCATTCCTTGGTTGATAATCTGGTTTTTGGCTTCCCCTTGAATTGCCCGGCCGTCACACTGGCTCTCCATGAATGTGCAGAGAAAATAGGCCTTTAATTTGGTTTGTGAAGGGTGCAGAGCATTCAATCTCAGTTGGTCAGAATATGAGCTGATGTCTTCGGAGCAACGTGATCCTGTGGCCTTGGGTTTCCTGCATGGAAGATTTATTGGCAGAACTTCAGCTGATAAAGGGAGCTTCAGGCAACCAGTGATCAATCTCCTTTTCATGAAACGAAAGTGAAGCGCGTTCCCAGAGAGCTTCGTAGGGAAACGGCAGCGTACCACATCTGCTCAGTTGTCCAGTGGCCTTTTTTTTCTCCATTCGCCCTGTTTTGCTGAGGTCTTTTAACTGTTGGAAATAGTCTTGCCCCTGCCCTTTGGGACCGGACTAGAACATGTAGGAAACGCATCCATTTATTGGATGCTGCTCTGTCAAAGGCTTTGTCTGGGCTTCTGCTGATATTGAGCAGTTATTTACTGAAAACTTAACATTACATAGGGCTCTTTCCCCAGCTTGAGAACTGTGGGGTGCTTCCTGCGCCTGATTACAACTTGCCAGTACATCAGTCTTGGAAATTTGAATGCGTTAAAGGCTTCAGGCATTGCAAAGTCCTACTTTGTATTTCATTTTCTCCAGGTGTCTATGAGTATTTGCAGTGGTACATCTCCAAGGCTTGGAGCGTTTTAATCCTGCACTAAACTTTTGTACTGAAACAGCTGGTCTGCAAAAGGCGCTCAGGAAATATTTCCCTAAAAATCAGAACAGCGAGAAAGGACTTTTCTGAGGGAGAAAATAAGAACATGGGAAGATTTTCGGTACCTTCCTTTGAAATATTGCAGTGTCCTCAGGCTCACACTAAACTAATGCTGTGGTAGAAAGGTCAGCTTGGAGGAAGGGATTTGATTTAGCTGGGTTGTTTTTTTTTTTAAAGAAATAGGAAGGTTCCCTTTGTTGTGATGGTTTGATCTATTCAGTATCAGATGTGTAAGCATGCTGCATTTCACCGGTCCTGGAAGAGCCAAGGGTAACAGAGCAGAGCGCAGCAGCCAGCAGGGAACAACATCAGCTCCATCGGCAGCTGCCCCATTTATGCTTTTGTGAGAGATTTGAGCTTGTGTATTCTGTGGGAGAAGCCACAGGAGGTGGTAATATTGGGCAAAAACTTGAGGGAACGCCAGCCTTTTTGTGGGGAAAGCCCCACCGAAAGGACTCCCTCAACAAGAAAGTCACTGGACATATTGGTGGTTACAGAAGGTGTTTATATATGGAGTGTTTGGATATCTATCAGGCTGTAACTGCAAAAGAAGTGTGAAAACACTTTGTGCTACACTTTCTGAACTAAAGCCCTTTTCAAGCCAAGCTTTTCTTTTACAGGTTAGAATATCGTATGCTTTTTAAGAAAGCAAATCAGGATTAAATATTATCTTAACTTCATACACTGCTTAACCGAATAACTTTTTAGCTGGGATTTAAAATGAATATGCTTTTACCAGACCATCCATAGTGCCTGAAAATCTGGAGGCTTTACTATGGCAGGCCTTCTACTCTGCAATTAAGTTGGGTACCCAGTGATGTGGATTTTAGAAACAATCTCGATCAGATGATTTAGTTGAATTAAATGCTTGGACTCTGGTCTGCAAGCTTCCAAATATGCAGCTATTTGGAAATTCATGTGCAGTTTCTTAGTTGCTGTCCATGTTTTTGCCTGACTTCTCAGTAGCAGTATGTTTTTAAGGAGCAGGACAGTTAAAAACAGGGTTGGACTCGGTGTCCAACCAGGACTTTCCAAGAATATTTGTTTTATGCCCCTAGATTCCAGGAGAACAAGACCTTTATAATGAAATGCCGTGATGCCAGTGGATTACTGACCTGCTCCTTGCCTATGGGCTGTCCGGGAGGCTGACATTATATCATTTTTTCTGGAATATATCTGCTTTTCCAGGGAAATGGGCTCTGCAGGAATAGGGTACGGGGCTGTTGAGTACATGGGGCAGGGCACTGGGAGCAATAGCTTTTATGCAGCAAGAAACCATGGGAAGTATTGAGTTGTTGTGCATCTTAACATTTTCCAACAGAGAATAAATTTAAGGACGCTGAGATTTATTAGTACAGCTTATTTAGGATTTTTTAAAACAAGATCGTAGAATGGTTTGGGTTGGAAGGGACCTTAAAGCTCATCTGGTCCAGCTGTTCTGCCATGGAGCCTTGGAGGGTACAGCAGCCACAAAACTGCTGGAGAGGAATGTTCCCTCATTTCACCGAGCTCCTGGCAGGAATCTCAAAACACTTTGATTTCAACAGATCTCTGCTAATTATTTTTTTTCTGGGTTTTAATAAAAACCTTTTTAAATGCAGAACATGCCAACCAGCTAAAGCTAGCCCTGGTTTGTGTTTTCAGCTCTGACCCTTGCTAAAACCTCTGTCTGTTTGTTCAGGTGTGAAAGTAGCGCCCAAAGCCTGTATGGAGCCAAATGCAAGAACAGGCAGTGTCACGGTCAAAAATGCTTGAAAATAGATGTTATGATACTTATTTCTCCAAGCTGCTGCAAGGCTTTGTTAATCGTTTCACAGTGCTTTAGGCATCGGGTTTGATGTGTGGATTCTCACTCAGTAAAATGTGTATCAAGCACTGACAGTCCTCTTGCCATTCATATTTATATTCGGTAATGAGTCAGGCTCTTGAAAAATCATGTTCAAATTACATGTTCTATAGCTTTAATTTCCTGGTGCTAACAAGGGAATGATTTGCAATTTCTTGTTTGTCCTCCTCTGTGCCATAGCCTGGAAGTTTTGCTCAGTTCTCATGCTGAGTTTCAAAGTAAAGCTGCCTTTTCTATATTACCTACTTCCCAAATCTCATGGCTTCCGATATTTCTCTCTAAAAAATACTTCTTGTGAATCTGAATCCTTTTATGTGTATGTAGCCTAGGATTTGAAGCAGGTAAGCCTCTCGGATTCAATTCAGGACCAATATATATGTATTGCAGTTGTACTATAGGATTAGCCTATGATATCTGAGAATTGTGTTGCATTCCTGTTTTTTCCAAAAACCCTCCTAGAAACCTATAACCAGAAAACTGTTTTTCTTAGCATTGTTTATATCCAGTGTTCAAATTCTGGCTCTGCCTGTCTCAGTTGTGCTTTTCTCAGCCCACATCTTCCTCTTTTGCCTGAGACGAGGCTTTTTATCCTTCAGCAGCATCATTTAATCCTGATTTCTTCAGAAAAATACAGGTGTAGTATGATAGGAGGGGAAGTAGGATGGAAAGCTGCGTCTCCTTGTAGCCAAGCAGTGAGCAGAATAATGAAAGACTTGATGAGTTCAGGTGTGCTTTATGAATATCCAAAAGAAATTTGACAGTGTTTTCCCAGAACCCATTTAGGCTGTCACTGATATACCTGAGCATATCCATTTTAGTGGATTTATCTCCCCCAGTCCCCTGCAATGGGGTAAGAATGCTGTTGTCTCGCTTTGATAAACGGAGAGGAGAGAATAGGACTTGTCTGGGGTTGTGTGCCAAACTGGTGGCAGAGATGCGACCTGATGCTAGAGCATCTGTCGCTCAGGCTCCTCCTGGCCTCCTTAGGTTAAAATATGGGGCTGAACCCCTGGCACAGGAGAATCTGTGCTGTGAAAACATAGAGAAACTGGGGGAGAAACAAGCAATAAGGGAAATAGAGCTGTGTTAATAGTCGCTGTTTTGCTAATGGCTCGCTAATGAAAACCCAGTACCTTGCTATTGCTCACCTTGGAGGATGCTGTTAAGTACTTTAAGCACAGCCATAATTTGTTTAAGGGTTTGTTTCAATTTAATGCCTTGGGCTGTGTAGGGTAGCAGTTCTAGGGTCACCACATGTCCTGTGTAGTGGTTGCTTCTGGGTCTGGAGGGGAGAGATGAACCACTGGAGTTAGTGACGGTCAACCAAGCTGTTGCTGCTTACCATAGGACCAGAGCATGGTTTGGGTTGGAAGGGACCTCAGAGCTCCCCAGTCCAACACCCAATGGCCAGGGACACCTCCACCAGCCCAGGCTGCTCCAAGCCCCATCCAACCTGGCCTTGGGCACTGCCAGGGGAGGGGGCACCCACAGCTTCTCTGGGCAACCTGGGCCAGGGCCTCACCACCCTCACGGGGAAGGATTTCTGCCTAACATCTAACATAAATTTACCCTCTTCCAGTTTAAAGCCATTACCCCTTGTCCTATCACTGCATAAGATTTTGCTCATCTTCCCAGCCTAAGTGAACAGACCATCATGCTCATCCTAGATGGATGCTCGAGCAGCTGGCCAGTGTAGTACCTGAACATAGGTGAACGTGAATGGGAGTGATGAAACGTTGATATTAAACTTTCTTTGCTTGCTTTCTTGAAACAGCTGGTCAAAGGGCTGCAGCAGGAGCTGAACCGGCTCTACACACTTTTCTGCTCCCGGAATCCAGAGTTTGAGGAGAAAGGAGGGAAAGTCTCGATTGTGTCCCACTCGCTGGGCTGCGTCATCACCTACGACATCATGACTGGCTGGAACCCCGTCAGGCTTTACGAACAGTTGCTGCAGAAGGAGGAGGAGGAGCTTGAAGACCGTTGGATGAGCTACGAGGAGCAGTGTTTACTTGAAGAACTTTACATAACTAAGCAACGGTAACGCATCTGCTTCTGATTGCTAACGGAGAAAACCACATCCCTAGAGGATGCCTTTTGAGTATTTCCAGAGCCCACCGTGGCTGTTATCTTTTATGGCTGATATTCTGCTGGTGATGAATGGCAGTGGTAAAAGCTAAACCTGGGACTGAGCAGGCACAGGGCACTGGCACTGCTGATAGGAGCTCTGAATCCACATTCCACAAGCTCTACCAACACGCAACTGGCTGCTGCTCACTGACCAGATGGGAGCAGATCATAGCCAGGAAGAAAGGAGAAGGTCAGAAACACAACAAAGTAGCTTGCAGGTGGGCTGTAATACTGAGCAGAACCTCACCAGTGAAACTCCAAAGTTTCTAGATAAAATGAGAAGTTTTCTCCTAAGCTCACTGGGAAATTGAGCTCCACTGGCTGGATACGGATGTTGTAATTGCTGTGATGTGGTTTATGGGGTTACTACTCTGCTGCGGATCATTTACCGGCTTCTTCATGCTGCCATCTAGAAATGTTCGTGATGTTGGGAGTGTGAAGCAGCACTGCCCACTGTGATAAACAGGATCTTGGTTTCAGTGCCTTGCAGGTGTTGGTAGGGATTTTCAGTGTTAGGGGACCTTGCAGACCATCTTGATGTTACTCTCTCTTCTAACCTGGATATTGAGGTGCTATGAGATACCCATAGATAATGTAATAATAGTAGCTTGAGCTTCAATCTTTCCAATGGGAGGTTAGGATAAATCATGATCACACTTACTTTTAGTTCCTTCTTGAAACCTATCAAGTATTGGTGGTACTTTGGAAGCGTTAATATAGCATCCTGCAGTGGTTGAACTCATTAGGTGTGTAATTAGGGATTGGTACAATGCATCTCTATCAGCTGCAAGGCTGAGGAGGGAAGTAGGAAGCCTGATGAAGTTGTCCAGTGTTAAGGTGACCCTTCAGGCATAGCACTAGCATATGTCTGGGGGAAAATGACCATTTTCACACGCAGGCTCAAGCTCCTCAGGCATCCTCTGAAGTGCCTCAGGTTGCATCCACGGTAATCCAAGTGTCATTTGGCACTGGCACTTTCGTATAGCTGGAGTGGCTCTCCATCTCGTGAGCCATCTTAGTGCAATTCAATCTGAAATGACAGGAAATACACTACTGACATCCTGTAACTTCTGGATTTCTGGGATTTTAAGGTTGGCAAACACACAGTGGATTGCTGGAGATGCTTACACCTGAGCAGGTTGTGTTGTAGCATGTATAAATATTCTACAGTAAGAATAATGTACATACAGTGTGTGAGGTTGTGCTCTGTAAACCTTCAACATCAGTTCACAAGAGTCAAGAATTCTGTGTGCCTTCTTTTTTAAGACTGAATTATGCTCATTAAAGCATACAGACTTTTTTGAAAGCACAAGTCTTTGGGAAGCTCCAGCTCCAGATGGGCTTCTTTCTAATCAGGATGGCAGAGGTTAAGCTTAATCTATTTGTTTACATGATGCCTTTATGGAGCTCTGCAGAGGGCATAATGTTCTAATACTGGGCTTGGGGACACTTCTACTTGTCCATATGAGTATATATGTATATTGTTATATGTATATTGTAGCTGTTTTTGTAAATTCAAGCTAACTAGAAGAGGTGAACAAGCTTTTTTAATGATAGTTGAGAGGGTGGGACACTGTGCTCTAGATATTCTACCATAATACAGAACTCTGTAATGCCTTGAGTTTCCTGTGGCTTTCTTTTTTCAAAACGGGTGATTTGGCTGCAGAAACACCAGCAGTAGAGGGTGAGTCACCTCCTCCTGAGGAAGGAGGGTAGGCAGATGTTGGGGTGATGGACGAGGCTGCTGCCGTGTCATGATGGATTTGTTCTGTGGTCAGAGACAGGATTTCATGTACATTGATTCTTTATCTGCTGCACTGCCTCCAAGAAATACTGACACCATCGCTCTCTCTTCCCAGCAGACAAAACTGTTGGACCCCACAGGATCAGAGAGGTTAAGGCTACGGTTTTTATTGGATCTCAGAAAGATCTCTGTTTTCTAGGTTGAAAGAGATAGAAGAGAGGTTACATGGCTTAAAGGCATCCACCATATCAAAACCACCTGTCTTAAAATTTAAGGTATGTATGTTTGAGAGGCTCTTCCTGGGTGTTCTACTTGCTGTAAAAATACACCTGCAATATGAGTTATTCTACTTACAATTTTTTTCTGTGTCCCTGTACATGATGTTCACAGAGCAATTTTAATAGATTGGTTGTAGTGTGTGTATACTTGTTTCTGTACTCATATATTACTATTTGTTACAAATACATATGTTCATATGTAAATATATAAGCCTGTATATAGATTGTTAATATATTACACACACAGAGGTATGTGAGAAGGCAAATGCCGTTTGGCAAATTACTTTAATCACTTGGGGACTACTTCTAACGTGTCACATCTCTGAGCTAATCTGATTGAATTTCCTCCAGCAGTGGATTTTCCTTCCAAATTACACTGGTTTGACAGTTAGCACAAGTTACTTTCAGTCTCGTGAAACAAATTGCTTGCTAATCAGCTGTATAAATTGCTACAATTTCCTATCATTGGGAAAAGGCATTTTCTAGCTTCTCGGTGGGATGTGTGACACTTTCTAGTTGCTTGCCTGTATCCTGAAATACTAAACCATAAAAATGTGACATGATAGATGAGAGGAAAATAGATTATTGTTCCTTAACTTGCTGTTTTTCTTTCCTTCTGAGTTCAGAAGAACTCCGTGAAGCCAAGGTCAATCTTAAGCCATAAAAAAGAGGAAACTAACCGTAATTCACTTTGTCATAGCCTTCTCCTTTTCATCACTGCTTAAAAGCATGTGTCGTGCTATTATCTCTACCATCAAGGAAGCTGGAGGCAGGCTGATACTCCTCCAGCTCTGTGAAAGATTATTCTTCACCCAGTTGTGTTTAAAATGAAGGTTTTTTGAACAGGTGCTTTTCAGAGGTAGCAAAAAAAAGGAGAAGAAAAGAGGGCTGCATCAATCCAAATTACTGCTAGGTAATTTCCCATTGCAGTACATCCTTTTTCTTACCTTTACTGAAAGGAAGATGTGTTGTCTCTGTGAAGCTTTACACTGGTGACTTCCATTGCTTGAGACAGAGCTGCAGAAAGAGAGAGGCTTTCCGTGAACGTGATGACAAAGAGCTGCTGCCAAGGGAGGATTTCAACAGGATGTCACTGAAAGATATCAATATCTTATCACCAACAGCCTACTGAGGGTGACTGGCTTGTTGAAAGAGAAGAAACTGCTCTGTAGGTACCAACTGCCTGCACCTTGGCTCTGCGTGGCAGGCCAGAGCTCTGGTTTGGCTGTGAGTTGCGATTCACCACAAATGCTTGATCCACAAAATTCCTTGGTCTGTGCAGTGCAGGACGCTGGGTTTTTTGGTCACTGGTGTCCTTAAGCTGTGTTACACCACGAAATGGGCATGTGCAGCTGTAATGGAAAGGGCTGGCCACTGTCTGTGTTGTCTCATTTATGGACTGAAACAAATTAAGCTTCCCAAGATGAGACAGAGTCATCAGTCCTACGTTAAACAGAGGAAACCTTTAGCTGAATGCAGAAATGTGCCATAGTGGTTCAATACACAACCACCCAGTTAAATTTCCCATCTAATACTGGTATAAATCTCTGTTCCTTTTGTCTGCGAAGGCTGCAAACTATTCCTGGCTGCAGGAATGGGAAGATGCTGCTGCAGGGGTCTGTATTGCCTCGCTCTGGGAGGAGGTTTGGGATCCTTCAGGCTGAGAGGCAGCACAGAAACATAAATTGTAATCACAACTGAACATTAAAATGTCTTCATTTTCACATCACCGGTAAACACGTTCATTTGTCCTCCACACTTAGCTATGCACTAAAGAGCTGCGCTGCCTCGCTTCTAATGGCTCCTTCAGCTTTTTTTAACTCTGAAAATACTGCAGTCTTAAGTGGAATGGATGACTCTTTGGCTCAGCTTCTGCTTGAAATACAAATAAATGCATTAAGTCTTCTGTTTATGAATCATACCCAGGAGAAAAGCGCTGTCCTGAAAGGCCATGTTCTTAAACATTTCTTCTCTGTTGTTAAACACTTGCAGGTGTAGGTGTGCAGTGCCCCACTCCTGCTTCTAGGAGAAACACCCAAATTAATACATGTTTTCTAGAACGATTTTTAGCCTTCCATTTCCAGTAGGTTTCATCGCATGCAGCCACTTTGCAACGACGCTGAGAGTCTAATGACTGCAATTTAAAGGCCTTTATTTTTGGAAGAGTTACTTTTGATTTTTAGTGTTCACTGCTTTGCTATTGGCCTTGTGCCACCCGTTCAGGTCTCCACCAATTGGTCTTTGTCAAGATTTCCGGAGCTGGAAGACCACGTGGAAAGGCTTGCGCTTGTAAGAAAACACAGAGAGAGCAGTGCCCTCCAAGAAGAAAACATCTGTGGACACCGTTAATCCTGTGTTTATCAGTAGAAACGATGGCATGAAAGCCACGCACTGTGTAACCACCAAAACCATTTACCTTTTGGGATTTTTGCCTGGTCTGCAGTGGCCAAAGGTGAATTCATAAAAACAGCTTTTAAGCATCTGCTAGCAAGTGTAAGCTGGCAGTTGCTTTCTGATTTTTCTGAAGCAGAAGGACTGTAATTGTGTGCTCCAGGTGCTCGGTACAGGAATATCAGATGGACAGGGTCAAGGGTTACTTATTCACTTTAAGGGATTGCAGTGTGAATATCTGTTTCTGTTGTATTTGAAGATGAGAAAGCTTTTTGTCCAAACTGCAAAAAATGTAAGGGTCTCTGTAAAGCTTGGTTATAAGAAAGGAGAGCAGCTTTGCACCAGGCTGGAGTGACAGTAGAGATGACAGAGCAGTGCTTTGCAGCAGATGACATCAAACAGCTTTGCTTTTTTGCTTTTTATTCATATTTGCTATTTTGAAGACTTAGATTATTTTTTTTTCCATTGAATTAGGACTTGCGCATTATTTTGGAAGGAAGAGGTGGGGTACTAGTGCCAAGTCAGAGGATCAGGAATGGTTCGTGCAATGCTGGATTCTGACAGGTGGAAGGGACCGTTATTTCTACATCATTGCTCCACATGCTCACGTACAGTGATGGGATAGGGGAATCCAAGAACCTTCCATGTGTGCTTAGCAAGAATGCAGCGATTTGTCTTGCTGGTTAAGTAGTAGCGCACTAGGAGTTGGTCACTTGTTGTGCCCTGCAAACTGGGCACTGCTATTTGGAAAGTTCCAGTCAAGGTCTGATAATGGTAAAATTAGGTTTTCCTATAAGAATATTTTTGACTACAGAGTTTTACATTTGATATTTTTAGGAGATGATGTCTGAGGATTGGTAATGGGATGTGAAGCTTCTCTAGGTTGTCTTTAATACTAAATATGTAGCTTGCGTTTCTGCTTCATCACCGGGTGTGTGTAGCAAAACAACTCATGGAGTACTTGGTTAAGGTAAGATTGAGGAAGTGTGGTAAACTTTGGGAAGTTTCATGAGAAATCAGGCTTCAATCTGGTGAAACTCATCACATTTCCTAGTGTCTTCCAGCATCTCCAGTGTTGGTAAACCTCTTCCAGTTCAAATATCCAACTTGGTTTTTCAGTTTTCCAGCTCTCTAGCACCACAACATGGAAGACTTTTCTCACAGTAAAGGGAAATGGGAAACTTAACCTTCATGTTACACTATATATGTTATAGTGGTCTTCCCCATTTTGGCTTACTATATTATACAAGTCCCTCAGATGAAACTGAGAAATCAGCTGAAAGTGAGAAAGCAAATCCAGCCACGTTAGAAAGCGAATGTTGTTATTTGTTATTTCCATCCTTATTAACGTGGATGAAATCTCTCCTTAGGTTGAGAATTTCTTTTGTATGGGATCTCCATTAGCAGTGTTTTTGGCATTGCGTGGCATCCGTCCAGGAAACAGTGGCAGTCAAGACCATATTCTGCCCCGAACCATTTGTAACCGCTTACTAAATATTTTTCATCCAACAGACCCAGTGGTGAGTTTTAATTGCAGTTGCAAGCTTTTGCCTTGACTGTTTGTATGCATCAGCTGTGTGATAATGTGTGATCTTCAAAGCGTGTGAATCAACCCAAGTGTGTTCCTGCACAGGACTATTTCTCAATGATTATTATACAATGCCTTGGCTTTTGTACCTGTAGAATTACAAGTTCTAGAAATAATTGCCTTAAATACCGTGTCCTTTGCTTCTCTTTTCATATGCTTATTAATAAGATTAAAGATTACTCTGCTTCCTTTCTGTTGCGAAGACATAAGTAATAATCCCTCTCAAACCCCAGCTTGTGTTGAACTTGCTGACTTCCAGAGTAAACATTTACAGCTCCACAAGTGGTTTATCACCTTGGCACCTTCTTTGATGCAAGCTTGATATGGGATTTCACACTTACTGTGAAATAATAATTTTGGGATAATTTTGTGTTTAAATTCTACCTGCACCTGGGTATATTCAGACTTCAACCCAAACGTGCTGGTTCTGCTCATCTCAAGATCATCTTCAGATCCAGCTACTCCAAAACCAGATTTTTCCTAGGGCGATTGGTCAGACTGCAATCTGCAGTCCCAAACTTTACTTAGTTTTGAGATAAAGAAGGGTAGAATGCTTTTCTACATCTAAGTAAAGAAAGAAAAATAAAGAATCAATAGAGAATTATTTTTGTAATAAGCACAGGTTTGCACAGGGATCAGTGGAGAGTCATCAACCAAAACGTTTACAGATGCTTCAGATACTTTGGATTTGAGGTTGGAGAGGACTCTGTGTGGGAAGGGAATGCGACTTTTTTATTTCCCAGCCTTGACACTCAGGATTTTCTTTCCCAAATTACTCTTGCAGGCCTACAGATTAGAACCTTTAATTCTGAAGCACTACAGCAACATTTCGCCAGTCCAGATCCACTGGTACAACACTGCAAACCCTCTACCTTACGAGCACATGAAGCCAAGTTTTCTCAACCCAACAAAAGAACCTACCTCAGCTGCCGACAGCGAAAGCGTCTCCACTGTGCCGAGCCCAACCACGTCGCCGGTCATGGTTCGACGCCACTACGGGGAGTCTATAACAAATATAGGCAAAGCGAGTATATTAGGTAATTGTTCTTTGTCCTATTTCTTTTATTGGTATCTTTTTTAATTTTAAAAAAAAAATTGTCTTTGCAGCCTTTTTTCCCTGTCTTTGTAGGCCTTTTTTCCCTGTCTTTGTAGGCCTTTTTTCCCTGTCTTTGTAGGCCTTTTTTCCCTGTCTTTGTAGACCTTTTTTCCCTGTCTTTGCAGCCTTTTTTCCCTGTCTTTGTAGGCCTTTTTTCCCTGTCTTTGTAGGCCTTTTTTCCCTGTCTTTGTAGACCTTTTTTCCCTGTCTTTGTAGACCTTTTTTCCCTGTCTTTGCAGCCTTTTATTTATACAGGATGTTCTTATAAAGCTTCCCTGTTCCATGATGCTTGAGGTGTAACCATAAGCAAGCTATCCCTGGCCATTTCAATGTGTTTCCTGTAGGTGTATGGCTTCTTTTAATGACACTTACTTGGAAGAAAAGACAGTTCATGTACACTGGAGTCACAGAATCACAGAATCGCTTGGTTGGAAAAGACCTCTGAGATCATCATGTCCAACCGCTCCTGTCTACCCCCTAAACCATATCCTTAAGTACCTCATCTACCCGCTCTTTAAACACATCCAGGGATGGTGACTCCACCACCTCCCTGGGCAGCCTGTTCCAGCCTCTGACGACCCTCTCAGGAAAGAACTTCCTCCTTATCTCTAACCTGAACCTCCCTTGGCACAGCTTGGTGCTGTCAAGGCTTGCAGGGAGAGGATGTGGGTCAGGGAGTTTATGCTATTGCTGCCTTATTGTTGTCTGCTTTATTGAAGTGATATCCTGGTGATTTGATAGTTTCCACTGTACTTCATGGGAAGAAAAATAGGTGAAAATGACTCTGCATGTAAACAATTACAGTTCTGTTTAACTCATGATTTTTAAAAAAGAAAATTCAGGCTGGTTTAATATAAAGTCTGTCCACTTCTGGCTTTCTGGTTCAAAATAAGCCCTGGTTTAAGTGAGCTTAAATTTGCTTTCACTGGAGCTTATGCCTGAGCAGGCACTTGCATTTTTTTTGTTGACTCAAGGCTTTTCTTGAGCCCTCTCTGTGGGGTTTGGAAGAAGGCTGACGTGACCTTGAGCCAAGAATCTCCCCAATCAAATAACTAAAGGATATAAAGACGGTTTAGTCCTTAAGTGGAAATAGGAGGCATTTCAAAGCAAGGCTGCTTTTCGCTATGTTACTGGAGTGACTTTAATGGCCTGTCCATAAGGTGGCAGCAAAGTCGGGAGAAAACATCACAAATCCGGTCTGAACTTTTCCTCCCCTCTTCCTGAGACACAAACCAGTCCTTTTAAAGGCTGATAGAGCATTTTTAAATGTCTGTAAGAGCGACGCCAACATAAGGACCCTTAATGGCAGGAGTGTCTTACGTGTCCTGATGGATTCTTATATGCGGAAGGTACTAACATTGTTACAAAGCATTTTTGTGTTAATTTTAGACTTTTTGATGAAAGAGGAATTACAACATATCTGCCAGAGTACCAGACTTCTTGCTGCTGAAGTGATCTCATGTATTTTTGTTCCCCTAACTACAGTTTCCAAATTATAGCCTTTGCCTGTGCGCTAGATTAGTTTCACAATAAACAGTGTACGCTTGAGTCAGATAAGCTGCTCCCACCCTAGAAAAGCATGAGTGGTGTTTGCCTTTGTCTGCCACTCAAATCTAATTGATGGGTGCTGCAGTGACTTTAATTTGCGGTTTTATTTAGCTACACTTGTGCTTCTAGTTTAACAATTTTTTCTCCATACTGAATGCAGGAGCGGCGAGCATCGGGAAGGGCCTCGGCGGGATGCTTTTCTCGAGATTTGGCCGATCCAGTGCAACCACCCCACAGACACTGGAGACGGGAAAAGATGGAGCTGAGGGGGACGACAAGAAGGCCACAACTGTTGGGACACCCCCATTCCCTCACAGCAGCTCGGGCTTTCTGGAGCCCACAGGTCAGTGACGAGTCCACCCTACAAACACCCTGGAAACAAGACCTTTAGTGGGCTGCATCCCTATGCTGTGAGAGGCTGGAAATACTGTAATGACGTACGCTGGGTTTAATTTATTTAAATTTTAATTTAATTTTCTATTTAATTTTGTTGGTTTGCGCTAAAGTGATAAACACTGAATCCATTCCTGC